TTACACTGGAGGCTGTGTTACACTGGTGGCTGTGTTACACTGGTGGCTGTGTTACACTGGTGGCTGTGTTACACTGGAGGCTGTGTTACACTGGTGGCTGTGTTACACTGGTGGCTGTGTTACACTGGAGGCTGTGTTACACTGGAGGCTGTGTTACACTGGTGGCTGTGTTACACTGGTGGCTGTGTTACACTGGAGGCTGTGTTACACTGGTGTCTGTGTTACACTGGAGGCTGTGTTACACTGGTGGCTTTGTTACACTGGTGACTGTGTTACACTGGTGGCTGTGTTACACTGGTGGCTGTGTTACACTGGAGGCTGTGTTACACTGGTGGCTGTGTTACACTGGAGGCTGTGTTACACTGGTGGCTGTGTTACACTGGTGGCTGTGTTACACTGGAGGCTGTGTTACACTGGAGGCTGTGTTACACTGGTGGCTGTGTTACACTGGTGGCTGTGTTACACTGGAGGCTGTGGCAGCTCCAGTTGTTTCCAAGATGCATGGATAACATTATAAATGAATAACAATATATTCACCTGGGCACTGGGAACCTCAAACACCCGACCCCCAGCACGGAAGACAGTCGCTCTATCAACTGCGCCACTTTTAATGGCTAGCTTGGTAGCGTGGTTGATAGAGTGACTGTCTGCCATGCTGAGGGGTCGCGTGTTCGAGCCTCCTAGTGCCCTAGGCGAATGAATGGGGCACTTGGAGCCCCTTCTGTTGTCTGTGAATCAATTAATGTCTCTGGAATCAAAGCCCATTCAGAATCAATGAATTTCTCATTAGTATATATATGACAATGGCGTGACTATGAAGAAATGATTTTGGGGTAATGGGGGAGACTTGAACCTGCGTTCTGGTCATTCACAGACAAGTCTCGTGCTCATTTGACCAGTGAGTCGACAAGAATGAGATCAGGACCAAGAAATGTTGTGTTTTAATACTAAGGAATGTTTTCATTGTCATTAAAATCGACCGTGTCTATATAGTTATGTCCAGACAACCCCACTACAAGACTACTAGACAACCCCACTACAAGACTACTAGACAACCACACTACAAGATTACTAGACAACCACACTACAAGACTACTAGACAACCACACTACAAGATTACTAGACAACCCCACTACAAGACTACTAGACAACCACACTACAAGACTACTAGACAACCCCACTACAAGACTACTAGACAACCACACTACAAGACTACTAGACAACCCCACACTACAAGACTACTAGACAACCCCACTACAAGACTACTAGACAACCACACTACAAGACTACTAGACAACCACACTACAAGACTACTAGACAACCACACTACAAGACTACTAGACAACCCACTACAAGACTACTAGACAACCACACTACAAGACTACTAGACAACCACACTACAAGACTACTAGACAACCCCACTACAAGACTACTAGACAACCACACTACAAGACTACTAGACAACCACACTACAAGACTACTAGACAACCACACTACAAGACTACTAGACAACCACACTACAAGACTACTAGACAACCACACTACAAGACTACTAGACAACCACACTACAAGATTACTAGACAACCACACTACAAGACTACTAGACAACCACACTACAAGACTACTAGACAACCCCACTACAAGACTACTAGACAACCACACTACAAGACTACTAGACAACCCCACTACAAGACTACTAGACAACCACACTACAAGACTACTAGACAACCACACTACAAGACTACTAGACAACCACACTACAAGACTACTAGACAACCCCACTACAAGACTACTAGACAACCACACTACAAGACTACTAGACAACCCCACTACAAGACTACTAGACAACCACACTACAAGATTACTAGACAACCCCACTACAAGACTACTAGACAACCACACTACAAGACTACTAGACAACCACACTACAAGACTACTAGACAACCACACTACAAGACTACTAGACAACCCCACTACAAGACTACTAGACAACCACACTACAAGACTACTAGACAACCCCACTACAAGACTACTAGACAACCACACTACAAGATTACTAGACAACCCCACTACAAGACTACTAGACAACCACACTACAAGACTACTAGACAACCACACTACAAGACTACTAGACAACCACACTACAAGACTACTAGACAACCCCACTACAAGACTACTAGACAACCACACTACAAGACTACTAGACAACCACACTACAAGACTACTAGACAACCACACTACAAGACTACTAGACAACCACACTACAAGACTACTAGACAACCACACTACAAGACTACTAGACAACCCCACTACAAGACTACTAGACAACCACACTACAAGACTACTAGACAACCCCACTACAAGACTACTAGACAACCACACTACAAGATTACTAGACAACCCCACTACAAGATTACTAGACAACCCCACTACAAGACTACTAGACAACCACACTACAAGACTACTAGACAACCACACTACAAGACTACTAGACAACCACACTACAAGACTACTAGACAACCCCACTACAAGACTACTAGACAACCACACTACAAGACTACTAGACAACCACACTACAAGACTACTAGACAACCACACTACAAGACTACTATACAACTACACTATACAACTACCAGACAGCCACACTACAAGAATTCAACCAGACTACCAGTCTACCAGGCTACCAGACAACCAGTCTACCAGACTACCAGACTACCAGTCTACCAGACTACCAGTCTACCAGACTACCATACAACCAGTCTACCAGTCTACCAGACTACCAGACTACCAGTCTACCAGACTACCAGACTACCAGACTACCAGACTACCAGTCTACCAGTCTACCAGACTACCAGACTACCAGACTACCATACAACCAGTCTACCAGTCTACCAGACTACCAGTCTACCAGTCTACCAGACTACCAGACTACCAGACAACCAGACTACCAGACAACCAGACTACCAGACTACCAGACAACCAGACAACCAGACTACCAGACTACCAGACAACCAGACAACCAGACAACCAGACTACCAGACTACCAGACAACCAGACTACCAGACAACCAGTCTACCAAACTACCAGACTACCATACAACCAGACTACCAGTCCATCAGAAGCTTGGGAATAATCACATAATATTCACCTAAATGACCCAAGTAATATTATTTTTTAATTATAAAAACAGGTTCATCTAGCCACGAAGTAATTTTTGCTTTTAGTAAACAAGGGATGATTTTCCCTTATATTAAACTCTGGTAATATGAACAGTTAACCATATAGGCCTAGATAGATAATATTTTACACTGACTGAAACCCTTCCTCTTGAAACAGTACAAATAGCTACTATTGATGGAAGTAAAAATAAATACCATTGTTTTCCCCGATAAAAAAGTTTCGTACTATTGGAGTTCATGAGGACATAAAATAATATAAAAAAAATTATTCTAGCCTCTCATAGGCCTAAATAATCAATCCTATTTATACGCACTGATACGCAATTTTAGGCCTATTTTTTATAATGATAATCTGCGATAGGCCTGGGAAAATACAGTATTGGTTGATTAAAAAAATAGTACAAAACAGGGACTTTTTTTTAGGGGTACAACAGTACCTATTTTGTATATTTCACAAATAGTAGTTATAGGGACTTTAATGTATGGTTGGTTGACTGGTTGCTGTATGGTTGGTTGACTGGTTGCTGTATGCTTGGTTGACTGGTTGCTGTATGGTTGGTTGACTGGTTGCTGTATGCTTGGTTGACTGGTTGCTGTATGGTTGGTTGACTGGTTGCTGTATGGTTGGTTAGCTGGTTGCTGTATGGTTGGTTGACTGGTTGCTGTATGCTTGGTTGACTGGTTGCTGTATGGTTGGTTGACTGGTTGCTGTATGCTTGGTTGACTGGTTGCTGTATGGTTGGGTGACTGGTTGCTGTATGGTTGGTTGACTGGTTGCTGTATGGTTGGTTGACTGGTTGCTGTATGGTTGGTTGACTGGTTGCTGTATGGTTGGTTGACTGGTTGCTGTATGGTTGGGTTACTGGTTGTTGTATGGTTGGGTGACTGGTTACTGTATGGTTGATTGACTGGTTACTGTATGGTTGGTTGACTGGTTGCTGCATGGGTGGTTGACTGGTTGCTGTATGGTTGGTTGACTGGTTGCTGTATGGTTGGTTGACTGGTTGCTGTATGGTTGGTTGACTGGTTGCTGTATGGTTGGTTGACTGGTTGCTGTATGGGTGGTTGACTGGTTGCTGTATGGTTGGTTGACTGGTTGCTGTATGGTTGGTTGACTGGTTGCTGTATGGTTGGTTAGCTGGTTGCTGTATGGTTGGTTGACTGGTTGCTGTATGGTTGGTTGACTGGTTGCTGTATGGTTGGTTGACTGGTTGCTGTATGGGTTGGTTGACTGGTTGCTGTATGGTTGGTTGACTGGTTGCTGTATGGTTGGTTGACTGGTTGCTGTATGGTTGGTTGACTGGTTGCTGTATGGTTGGTTGACTGGTTGCTGTATGGTTGGTTGATTGGTTGCTGTATGGTTGGTTGACTGGTTGCTGTATGGTTGGTTGACTGGTTGCTGTATGGAGTACAATTGGGTAGTTACAGTTACAAATGACAAGATTACAAATGACAAGACTTGAGCTGCAATGGTTAGGTATCCCATGGCAGCTGATGTTTAATACTGATGAGTTCTGTTGAGTACCGATAATGAATGGGTGAGTACTGGTAGAATCTGATGATCACTGAGGAGTTCTGATAAGACCTGTTAAGTTCTGATGAATACAAAGGAGCACTGAAGGGTTATGATGAGTCCTGACTCATCTTGAGGAGTGCTGAGGAATTCGAATGCATTCTGATGCGGTCTGATGAATACTGGCAAGCACTGATGAGTTTAGATTAATACTGATAATGAGTTTCGATGAACCTAAATGAGTTATAATGAATGCTGGTGAGTTTTGATGAATTCAGATGACCATTGATGAGTCCGGATGAGCACAAATGAGTCCTAATGACTACCGATACAGGACTGAAGATACAAAAAGTTCTACAGAGTTCATGGACTTCTTTTACACTAGGTAAGTACAAAAATGGGTAAAAATTGGCAAATTTTTATATTTTGCAAAAATTCAAGTTGTTAATGGGTAATGGGGCAGCGATAAGTGATCCCAGAGTAATAGAGGGAATCCGTCATTATTAGCACTCTCCTTTATTTGGTAGAGGCATTATTTATTGATTTATTTTTAGTTTTATTATCAAATAATCATTCAGTGAAACTTATCACTGTTTTAAAGTTTGGGGAAAATTCTGTCACTCGTTTGAGCGAATGGTGTAACTGGTTACATGTAGATGTTGACCAGACCACACACTAGAAATTGAAGGGACGACGACGTTTCGGTCCGTCCTGGACCATTCTCAAGTCGATTGTGATGAGGAGGTAGGGACAGGCAATAAATAGGCAAGAGACATGTAGTTACATGTAAATAGGTTACATGTAGTTAGGTAATTAATACACATATTTTTTTTTTTTTTGGTGAGAGTTAAGGGCTAAGTCTTAGAAGGTTAATTAAGATTGACTAATAGTTAATAATGTTCCTTGACTAATTAAGAGATGTATTACTTTATGAGGCCACTGTGGCACACTATGGCACACTGTGGCACACTGTGGCACACTATGGCCCACTATGGCCCACACACTGTGGCACACTATGGCCCACACACTGTGGCACACTATGGCCCACACACTGTGCCAACTGTGCCACACACACTATGCCAACTATGGCCCACACACTATGCCAACTGTGCCACACACACTATGCCAACTGTGCCACACACACTGTGCCAACTGTGCCACACACACTATGCCAACTATGGCCCACACACTGTGCCAACTATGGCCCACACACTGTGCCAACTGGGCTACACACACTGTGCCAACTGTGCCACACACTGTGCCAACTGTGCCACACACACTGTGCCAACTATGGCCCACACACTGTGCCAACTATGGCCCACACACTGTGCCAACTATGCCACACACACTGTGCCAACTATGCCACACACACTGTGCCAACTGTGCCACACACAATGTGCCAACTATGCCACACACACTGTGCCAACTATGGCCACACACACTGTGCCAACTATGGCCACACACACTGTGCCAACTATGGCCCACACACTGTGGCAACTATGCCACACACACTGTGCCAACTGTGCCACACACACTGTGCCAACTGTGCCACACACACTGTGCCAACTGTGCCACACACACTATGCCAACTATGGCCCACACACTGTGCCAACTATGGCCCACACACTGTGCCAACTGGGCTACACACACTGTGCCAACTGTGCCACACACACTGTGCCAACTGTGCCACACACACTGTGCCAACTATGCCACACACACTGTGCCAACTGTGCCACACACACTGTGCCAACTATGCCACACACACTGTGCCAACTGTGCCACACACACTGTGCCAACTATGCCACACACACTGTGCCAACTATGCCACACACACTGTGCCAACTATGCCACACACACTGTGCTAACTGTGCCACACACACTGTGCCAACTGTGCCACACACACTGTGCCAACTATGCCACACACACTGTGCCAACTATGCCACACACACTGTGCCAACTATGCCACACACACTGTGCTAACTGTGCCACACACAGCTGTCCTCTTCAATCAAAGAGTTTTATCTGTTGGGACGGGTTTTATGTTCTAATTTTCCTTAATTATACTCACCTCATTATACGTAAACATGTGTTCTCCCATGTGTATTATCATTCGTAAACATGTGTCCTCCCATGTGTATTATCATACGTAAACATGTGTTCTCCCATGTGTATTATCATACGTAAACATGTGTCCTCCCATGTGTATTACCATGAGTAAATAAAATATGTGTATTATTATGTGTTTTGTTGTTATTGTTCTTACCTCATTGTGTGGAAATGTAGATGTTTATCTCTCAGAATGTTTGGTAATATGTTTATTGTCTGTGATGTGTGTATGTATATGTGTATGTATGATGTGTGTATGTATTAACACGATGTACTGAACGGGGCGAGAATAGCTTCAGCTACCTCATCCCTTTGTGTGTATTTTACCTCAATAAACTTATTTCAATTTCAATTGCCTCATTGTGTGAGCATTTACACAGTCCTTCTCTCTCCACATCCCCAGATAACAGCAGATCACCTGCTATCTTGACAAGATAATGTGTGATAACGGGGGTATGAGGCTGGTGATCCTGGGTCCCATAGTATGCAGGATATCACCTGCCTCACATAATAGGGGGGATTAAATTGAGGGGTTATATGGGGGTAGCTAAAGCTTGGTGTCTAGGAGAGTGTCAGACTCTCCTGCTTCACCAGTCAGACTCTCCTGCTCCACCAGTCTGACTCTCCTCCACCAGTCAGACTCTCCTGCTTCACCAGTCAGACTCTCCTGCTCCACCAGTCAGACTCTCCTCTACCAGTCAGACTCTCCTGCTTCACCAGTCAGACTCTCCTCCTCCACCAGTCAGACTCTCCTGCTCCACCAGTCAGACTCTCCTGCTTCACCAGTCAGACTTTCCTCCTCCACCAGTCAGACTTTCCTCCTCCACCAGTCAGACTCTCCTCCACCAGTCAGAGTCTCCTGCTTCACCAGTCAGACTCTCCTGCTTCACCAGTCAGACTCTCCTCCACCAGTGAGACTCTCCTGCTTCACCAGTCAGACTCTCCTGCTTCACCAGTCAGACTTTCCTCCTCCACCAGTCAGACTCTCCTCCACCAGTCAGACTCTCCTCCACCAGTCAGACTCTCCTCCACCAGTCAGACTCTCCTCCACCAGTCAGACTCTCCTGCTCCACCAGTCAGACTCTCCTGCTTCACCAGTCAGACTCTCCTGCTTCACCAGTCAGACTCTCCTGCTCCACCAGTCAGACTCTCCTGCTCCACCAGTCAGACTCTCCTGCTCCACCAGTCAGACTCTCCTCCACCAGTCAGACTCTCCTGCTTCACCAGTCAGACTCTCCTGCTCCACCAGTCAGACTCTCCTGCTCCACCAGTCAGACTCTCCTGCTCCACCAGTCAGACTCTCCTCCACCAGTCAGACTCTCCTGCTTCACCAGTCAGACTCTCCTGCTCCACCAGTCAGACTCTCCTGCTTCACCAGTCAGACTCTCCTGCTCCACCAGTCAGACTCTCCTGCTCCACCAGTCAGACTCTCCTCCACCAGTCAGACTCTCCTGCTTCACCAGTCAGACTCTCCTGCTCCACCAGTCAGACTCTCCTCCACCAGTCAGACTCTCCTGCTTCACCAGTCAGACTCTCCTGCTCCACCAGTCAGACTCTCCTGCTCCACCAGTCAGACTCTCCTGCTTCACCAGTCAGACTCTCCTGCTCCACCAGTCAGACTCTCCTGCTCCACCAGTCAGACTCTCCTCCACCAGTCAGACTCTCCTGCTTCACCAGTCAGACTCTCCTGCTCCACCAGTCAGACTCTCCTGCTCCACCAGTCAGACTCTCCTGCTCCACCAGTCAGACTCTCCTGCTTCACCAGTCAGACTCTCCTCCTCCACCAGTCAGACTCTCCTGCTTCACCAGTCAGACTCTCCTGCTTCACCAGTCAGACTCTCCTCCACCAGTCAGACTCTCCTGCTCCACCAGTCAGACTCTCCTGCTTCACCAGTCAGACTCTCCTGCTTCACCAGTCAGACTCTCCTCCACCAGTCAGACTCTCCTGCTCCACCAGTCAGACTCTCCTGCTTCACCAGTCAGACTCTCCTCCTCCACCAGTCAGACTCTCCTGCTCCACCAGTCAGACTCTCCTGCTCCACCAGTCAGACTCTCCTGCTTCACCAGTCAGACTCTCCTGCTCCACCAGTCAGACTCTCCTCCTCCACCAGTCAGACTCTCCTGCTCCACCAGTCAGACTCTCCTCCTCCACCAGTCAGACTCTCCTGCTCCACCAGTCAGACTCTCCTGCTCCACCAGTCAGACTCTCCTGCTTCACCAGTCAGACTCTCCTGCTCCACCAGCCCAGACTCTCCTCCACCAGCCCTGACTCTCCTCCACCAGCCCTGACTCTCCCCCACCAGCCCAGACTCTCCTCCACCAGCCAGACTCTCCTCCACCAGCCAGACTCTCCTCCACCAGCCCTGACTCTCCTCCACCAGCCAGACTCTCCTGACAATATTGACAAGTGCCTCAGGCGTCGACGCCGGCTTACTGGGCAGAAAATACTTCGACAGCAAAGACATTTTACCTCACTCTTTGTTACTGTTTCCAATTGTCACTTTCATGAATATATGTCTTCCTTTCTCTCCCTCACTCTCACCCCCTCTCTCCCTCACTCTCACCCCTTTCTCTCCCTCACTCTCACCCCTCTCTCTCCCTCACTCTCACCCCTCTCTCTCCCTCACTCTCACCCCTCTCTCCCTCACTCTCACCCCCCCTCTCTCCCTCACTCTCACCCCCCTCTCTCCCTCACTCTCACCCCCCCTCTCTCCCTCACTCTCACCCCCCTCTCTCCCTCACTCTCACCCCCCTCTCTCCCTCACTCTCACCCCTCTCTCCCTCACTCTCACCCCTCTCTCCCTCACTCTCACCCCCTCTCTCCCTCACTCTCACCCCTCTCTCTCTCCCTCACTCTCACCCTCTCTCCCTCACTCTCACCCCCTCTCTCCCTCACTCTCACCCCTCTCTCTCCCTCACTCTCACCCCCCTCTCTCCCTCACTCTCACCCCTCTCTCCCTCACTCACCCCCCCTCTCTCCCTCACTCTCACCCCTCTCTCTCCCTCACTCTCACCCCCCCTCTCTCCCTCACTCTCACCCCTCTCTCTCCCTCACTCTCACCCCTCTCTCCCTCACTCTCACCCCCCCTCTCTCCCTCACTCTCACCCCCCTCTCTCCCTCACTCTCACCCCCCTCTCTCCCTCACTCTCACCCCCCTCTCTCCCTCACTCACCCCCCCTCTCTCCCTCACTCTCACCCCTCTCTCTCCCTCACTCTCACCCCCCTCTCTCGCTCACTCTCACCCCCCTCCCCGCTACCCCAGTCGACCCTCTCCACCAAAGGATAAATGGATCCACCAGCTCAATCTAACGCCTTCAATTTCCCGAGAAATTAAAAAGTTCTTCTCAATAATTTCTGATCCTGGGAATCTATTTCCTGATACCATCAGTTGGGATTGACGGGAGACGCAGGGGAGGCTTCCTTTCCCCCCCCCCCCCCTGCCTTCCCTCCTTGCCCTCAGGTCCTGTCCAAGCTGCCTTCCTGCATCTTAGTCTTTTTACCTTCTTCCTAGCATTCTTGCCTTCCTTTTTACCTTATTAATTAGTTGATTAATTCGCTTCTATTCGGGTGTTCAGAAAATATATAGCACTACCCTGTATGTATGTCCAACTACCTTCCCCCACATGCCCTGGTGCCCAGCTACCTACTCCCACATACCCTGGTGCCCAGCTACCTTTCATCACATGCCCTGGTGCCCAGCTACCTACTCCCACATACCCTGGTGCCCAGCTACCTTCCCCCACATGCCCTGGTGCCCAGCTACCTTTCATCACATGCCCTGGTGCCCAGCTACCTTTCATCACATGCCCTGGTGCCCAGCTACCTTCCATCACATGCCCTGGTGCCCAGCTACCTTCCCCCACATGCCCTGGTGCCCAGCTACCTTCCATCACATGCCCTGGTGCCCAGCTACCTTCCCCCACATGCCCTGGTGCCCAGCTACCTTCCATCACATGCCCTGGTGCCCAGCTACCTTCCATCACATGCCCTGGTGCCCAGCTACCTTTGATCACATGCTCTGGTGCCCAGCTACCTTCCATCACATACCCTGGTGCCCACTTACCTTCCCCCACATACCCTGGTGCCCAGCTACCTTTGATCACATGCCCTGGTGCCCAGCTACCTTCCATCACATACCCTGGTGCCCACCTACCTACCCCTACATACCCTGGTGCCCACCTACCTACCTCCACATACCCAGGTGCCCACCTACCTGCCCTACATACCCTGGTGCCCACCTACCTACCCCTACATACCCTGGTGCCCAGCTATCTTCACCCACATACCCTGGTGCCCACCTACTATCCCCCACATACCCTGGTGCCCACCTACCTACCTCCACATACCCTGGTGCCCACCTACCATCCCCCACATACCCTGGTGCCCACCTACCTACCCCTACATACCCTGGTGCCCACCTACCTACCTCCACATACCCAGGTGCCCACCTACCTACCCCCACATACCCAGGTGCCCACCTACCTACCCCCACATACCCTGGTGCCCACCTACCTACCCCCACATACCCTGGTGCCCACCTACCTACCCCCACATACCCTGGTGCCCACCTACCTACCCCCACATACCCTGGTGCCCACCTACCTACCCCCACATACCCAGGTGCCCACCTACCTACCCCCACATACCCAGGTGCCCACCTACCTACCTCCACATACCCTGGTGCCCACCTACCTACCCCCACATACCCTGGTGCCCACCTACCTACCTCCACATACCCAGGTGCCCACCTACCTACCCCCACATACCCTGGTGCCCACCTACCTACCTCCACATACCCTGGTGCCCACCTACCTACCCCCACATACCCTGGTGCCCACCTACCTACCTCCACATACCCTGGTGCCCACCTACCTACCCCCACATACCCTGGTGCCCACCTACCTACCTCCACATACCCTGGTGCCCACCTACCTACCCCCACATACCCTGGTGCCCACCTACCTACCCCCACATACCCAGGTGCCCACCTACCTACCCCCACATACCCTGGTGCCCACCTACCTACCTCCACATACCCTGGTGCCCACCTACCTACCCCCACATACCCTGGTGCCCACCTACCTACCCCCACATACCCTGGTGCCCACCTACCTACCCCCACATACCCTGGTGCCCACCTACCTACCTCCACATACCCTGGTGCCCAGCTATCTTCACCCACATACCACCGGCCTCACCGCGCCTCAATGAGCCAGCCAACCTTCGCTGCTTGAATGAAGAATTAATCCCCTTTGGCAGCTGTGTTGAAGCGCGGGCGGATTTCAGCAGCGGGTGCCTCAACCAGCTGAGCTCAGCCACCTCGCGCACGCACTCACCCAACTCGCGCTCGCACTCAGCCACTCATCCACCTCGCGCACGCACTCACCCACCTCGCGCACCCACTCGCTCGGGAAGCAGCGAGGATCAGTCAGTATCGCGCGGGCAGGCGGCGGGAGTGCACGCGTCTCGTCCGCTGACTGACTGTAGCGGGGCGAGGCTCCAGCAGTACTGTGTTGCCGGACCTCAGCAACCATGACATGTGTGGGGCCCGGCCTCACGCCTGCTGGGACGTGGCATGACAGCTGTTTATGACAGTCGTAAACCCGCGTATGACATGTCCATATTGTGGCGAGAAGGGTCATTACTGACCCCAATATGAAGTGTTTACAAAGTGTGGATCACCAGCAATGGAAATCATCAATCTAAAGTTCTGTGAAATTTGAGTTGATGCTAAATGGGAAAATATGTGTGTATTACCGGTGTGTTTAGTGTATTGTGGGTGTAGTGTAGTGCAGTGTAGTGGAGTATAGTGACTGTAGGTGAGTGTACGGGCACAATGAGAGTGGACCTCCTACACCAGGGGCTTCTACACCAGGGGCTTCTACACCAGGGGCTTCAACACCAGGGGCTTCAACACCAGGGGCTGCTACACCTTCACCTCATACTCCTGTGGCTCTTCACCTTCCCTCGCTCCGTGCTTCCTCTTGAAATAAAAAAAAGTAAGTTTTGATTTTATTTATGTCTTTTATTAAAGTGTAGCACCATACCCCCTGCCCCTACCATGCAGTACAACACAGTACCACCATACCACCTGCCCCTACCATGCAGTACAACACAGTAGCACCATACCCCCTGCCCCTACCATGCAGTACCAACAACAGTACCACCATACCCCCTGCCCCTACCATGCAGTACAACACAGTACCACCATACCCCCTGCCCCTACCATGCAGTACAACACAATACCACCATACCACCTGCCCCTACCATGCAGTACTAACACAGTAGCACCATACCACCTGCCCCTACCATGCAGTACAACACAGTACCACCATACCACCTGCCCCTACCATGCAGTACAACACAGTACCACCATACCACCTGCCCCTACCATGCAGTACAACACAGTACCACCATACCACCTGCCCCTACCATGCAGTACAACACAGTACCACCATACCACCTGCCCCCTATCATGCAGTACCAACAACAGTAGCACCATGCCACCTGCCCCTACCATGCAGTACACCACAGTACCACCATACCACCTGCCCCTACCATGCAGTACAACACAGTACCACCATGCCACCTGCCCCTACCAAGCAATACAACACAGTACCACCATACCACCTGCCCCTACCATGCAGTACTAACACAGTAGCACCATACCACCTGCCCCTACCATGCAGTACCAACAACAGTACCACCATACCACCTGCCCCCTACCATGCAGTACCAACAACAGTACCACCATACCACCTGCCCCTACCATGCAGTACCAACAACAGTACCACCATACCACCTGCCCCTACCATGCAGTACTAACACAGTAGCAACATACCACCTGCCCCTACCATGCAGTACCAACAACAGTACCACCATACCACCTGCCCCCTACCATGCAGTACCAACAACAGTACCACCATACCACCTGCCCCTATCATGCAGTACCAACAACAGTAGCACCATACCACCTGCCCCTATCATGCAGTACCAACAACAGTAGCACCATACCACCTGCCCCTACCATGCAGTACCAACAACAGTACCACCATACCACCTGCCCCCTATCATGCAGTACCAACAACAGTAGCACCATACCACCTGCCCCTATCATGCAGTACCAACAACAGTACCACCATACCCCCTGCCCCTACCATGCAGTACAACACAGTACCACCATACCACCTGCCCCCTACCATGCAGTACAACACAGTAGCACCATACCACCTGCCCCTACCATGCAATACAACACAGTACCACCATACCACCTGCTCCTACCATGCAGTACAACACAGTAGCACCATACCACCTGCCCCCTACCATGCAATACCAACAACAGTACCACCATACCACCTGCCCCCTACCATGCAGTACAACACAGTAGCACCATACCACCTGCCCCTACCATGCAATACAACACAGTACCACCATACCACCTGCCCCTACCATGCAGTACCAACAACAGTACCACCATACCACCTGCCCCCTACGATGCAGTACCAACAACAGTACCACCATACCACCTGCCCCTACCATGCAGTACAACACAGTACCACCATACCACCTGCCCCCTACAATGCAGTACCAGCAACAGTACCACCATACCACCTGCCCCCTACGATGCAGTACCAACAACAGTACCACCATACCACCTGCCCCTACCATGCAGTACAACACAGTACCACCATACCACCTGCCCCCTACCATGCAGTACAACACAGTACCACCATACCACCTGCCCCCTACAATGCAGTACCAGCAACAGTACCACCATACCACCTGGCCCCTACCATGCAAGAGTACAGTGTACTACAGTGCTGTCAGATTCACTGTAACAGTGTCCCAAAATTCGGTGCATTGAACCACTTGTTCTAATTCACGAAAACACATATATATAAAATGATTATGTCCTCACATTCATCCATTAACCGGCACGAGGGTCATTAACTTTTCACATGTACTCGTCCCTCTTTGAGTACATAGCGAGCAAAGTGTGTTTACACAACACCTTTCACGTGTTGGTAGCAATAATACCACCACACACTCACATATTTACACTGGAGTGTAAACATTGTCTGGTAGCCAGCGTCGTGCGGTGGAGTAGTTGAGTAAACTCAGTGGACATATGTATGGTAAACCCCAGGGGCCAGATTCACGAAGCAGTTACGAAAGCACTTACGAACCTGTACATCTTTCCTTAATCTTTGACGGCTTTGTTTACATTTACTAAACAGTTTTACAAGCATGAAAACGTCCCAATCAACTGTTGGTATTGTTATAAACAGCCTCCTGGTGATCCGGAGCTCATTAACTGTTTAATAATTGTAAACAAAGCCGGCAAAAATTGAGAAAAGATGTACAGGTTTCATAAGTGCTTGCGTAAGTGCTTCATGAATCTTTCCCCTGGGGTTTAAGCCAGTCTCTTCTTTCGTAGTATTCAGCAGTGAACGGTGAAGCGTGTGCCTATCTCCACATCCTTCAGCATACTCGTAACCTCATCGTCAGTATAACTAGCTGTCATACTCAGATTAGTATGTTTGTATACACTGATATATGTTGGTATACACTCATACTGGCTTAGAGCGGTACCTATGTGACAGCTGCAGAAGTTCTATTGGTCCATATGAGGCAGCTCCTATTGGTCCATACGAGGCAGCTCCTATTGGTCCATACGAGGCAGCTCCTATTGGTCCATACGAGGCAGCTCCTATTGGTCCATACGAGGCAGCTCCTATTGGTCCATACGAGGCAGCTCCTATTGGTCCATACGAGGCAGCTCCAATTGGTCCATACGAGGCAGCTCCTATTGGTCCATACGAGACAGCTCCTATTGGTCCATACGAGGCAGCTCCTATTGGTCCATACGAGGCAGCTCCTATTGGTCCATACGAGGCAGCTCCTATTGGTCCATACGAGGCAGCTCCTATTGGTCCATACGAGGCAGCTCCTATTGGTCCATACGAGGCAGCTCCTATTGGTCCATACGAGGCAGCTCCTATTGGTCCATACGAGGCAGCTCCTATTGGTCCATACGAGGCAGCTCCTATTGGTCCATACGAGGCAGCTCCTATTGGTCCATACGAGGCAGCTCCTATTGGTCCATACGAGGCAGCTCCTATTGGTCCATACGAGGCTGGTGTCGTACAGAACACCAGCTGTGTCATAGAGAACACCAGCTGTGTCATAGAGAACACATCTGTGTCGTAGAGAACACCATCTGTGTCGTAGTGAACACCATCCGTGTCATAGAGAACACCAGCTGTGTCATAGAGAACACCATCTGTGTCATAGTGAACACCATCTGTGTCATAGAGAACACCATCTGTGTCATAAAGAACACCATCTGTGTCATAAAGAACACCATCTGTGACATAGAGAACACCATCTGTGTCGTAGTGAACACCATCTGAGCACCAAAGCTTAGACTGTGCCAGACTGTATCTAAAACCAACAGAAATACTCAGGAGAGCGAGCTTGAGCCTGACTGACAGCTAAGTACCCGAATACACATAAAAAAATCAACATTTTAATCTAGGAAGTGTTACGCTAGACGACGAAAAATATTCCCTGACACTCACACATGTTTCGTGCACATTGTGTGGCCAATATAACTTACCCTTTCACAACATGCTGTAACCTTAACGCGGCTGATTATCAGTTGGGAACAAAAATGAAGCTGGATTATTTTTTTCTCGTGTGGATCAAACAGGTGAATCAAATGTTTTTTCTTTGTATCCACAAAGGCGACTTTTGTGTTTTTATTGGCCGGTTATTCTCTTTATTTTCTGACGTTATTTATGTGGTATTCTAATTTTTTATGATTATTTTTTATTTTCTTTATTAATAGAGGATTTGGATCATCTTTGGGTGGTTAATTGGAGTTAATTATTAGCTTTTTGGGGCGTCTGTGGTAAGGCTACGAGGCCTTACCACAGACTTTTACCTTACCTTAAAAGGTAAGGTAAAAGTCTTACCTTTTACCTTACCTTACCTTACTTTTGTTCTTCACTTGAAATATTAATTAAGACTTGTAGGGTCGTTAAACATTGCCCGAAACTGAGTTTTGACTTCTAGTTAAATTAACACCAAATATAACTCAGTGGAGTTAATAGACATAATGGGGTTGAATTCAAGTCCAAGAATGACTCACTGTGAGTGTGTGAGTGAAGCCACTCTGGCCACAGACGAGCACAAACTCACCAAAACGGTTGAGTAATTTCAAGCACTTGAAGAGTAGTTAAGGAGTTCAATTAAACTAATATGTATTCTTGCATTTGTTGAGGAAATAATTGTTAAACCATTTTCCGTTATTTTTCTTGTGTAAAGTTATAATGTAACATTTAACTTTCTCATAACTGGAAGTAGCGACAAGTTACGTGCAGATTAACTAACTTTACAATCTTTTTGTTAAAGGATTGGAAACTCATGCTGAGTAAGGGGGCCCTTCATCTATGCTGAGTAAGGGGTCAGAATCTGTGCTGAGTAAGGGGGCCCTTCATCTATGCTGAGTAAGGGGGCCCTTCATCTATGCTGAGTAAGGGGTCAGAATCTATGCTGAGTAAGGGGTCAGAATCTATGCTGAGTAAGGGGTCAGAATCTATGCTGAGTAAGGGGTCAGAATCTATGCTGAGTAAGGGATCAGAATCTATGCTGAGTAAGGGGGCAGAATCTATGCTGAGTAAGGGGTCAGAATATATGCTGAGTAAGGGGTCAAAATGTATGCTGAGTAAGGAATCGGATTCTATGCTGAGTAAGGAATCGGAATCTATGCTGAGTAAGGGATCGGAATCTATGCCGAGTAAGAGGCCTTCATCTATTCTGAATAAGGGATCGGAATCTATGCTGAGTAAGGTATTAGAATCTATGCTGAGTAAGGGATCAGAATCTATGCTGAGTAAGGGATCAGAATCTATGCTGAGTAAGGTATTAGAATCTATGCTGAGTAAGGGATCAGAATCTATGCTGAGTAAGGGATCAGAATCTATGCTGAGTAAGG